GAAATAAGAAATATAAAAATTGAAAAGTGTTAAACATAAATGCACAATAAATCTATTCCTTATGAAATGTAAGATAGACGCTTTGTTAGCTTCCAACTAAGTAACTTGCAAAGAGTACCATTTTAGTACTCGTGTGTACAGTAAAGCAAGATTTTTCATTTGCCATAACAACAAAGCTAATAAGCAAAAACAAAAAAAATATTGGTTAAGAATTTGTTAGCTAAAGATGAAGTAGGAGCAAAGGAGAAAAATTATACATTCAGCTTAGGCTAAGCTCTAAAGCACACAGGTAGTCTGTAAAGCAATTTGAATTGCATCTTCTACATTCTTATGTACTGATCTTTTGCGGTAGAATTGAGATGAAAAGTATCCAATAAAAGAAGTTAGCATCTTCCACATCCCATACGAACGACAAACTTTTATACTTTAAAATAAAAAAATGAAACAGATATTTTCCCACCCCAAAATCAAGTTCCGAAAATAAGATATTGTACTATCAATTGAATTGATCCACATACATTAATCAATTTATTCAATATTTACCCTATTATACTCGTATATTCTATAAAATATCATCAAAATATTAAATCACTTGTTCAATACCACATCTCCAAATCTCGAGTAAAATTCTCTTTTTTCCTTTACATTAGATCATTAAATAATTTAATCATAATGTCAAAGAGAAAATCGAATTACAAATTCAAGGTTTTATGAGAAAAAAAGATGTTACAAACTTGAAATGAAAAACACAAACAATAAGGAATATAGTTGCTTCATTACCTTGAGGTTTGCTGAGTGAGAGGATTAAACTTATCATGTTATCGACGACAAAAAAGTGAAGATCAAAAGAACCATTGCATAAATCTATAACCAGGAAAAATAGATTAAAATCTTAACTCGATACTTTTAGAGGAAAATTACAACTCAATGCTTCAACTTATATAGGGCATAATCCAACGACGACAAAATCAAAGACCGTTAAACATTTTGGAACACGGTTATTACTTCGATCTTGGCCTCATCTTTCAGCACTTCCTTTGCTACATTACTCTTAAAAATCACACTTGAATGAATATTGGTTAAGAATTTAGTACAACAGCAACGGTTGGCATGAAATAAATGCACTAAACTTGCAGTTTCAATTTCCGTAAATGATGGGACTTTTGGATTTTTTTTAAACATATTACACAACCAAAAAAATAGAGAAAAATCAGAAAATTGAGAAAAAAGATAAATGAGAATCCAAGATTGAGAGGTGCCACATCAGAGTTTTATTGTCCAGCTTTATATTTTATATAGATATAATATAGATAGATGTAAGAAGAAACTTATGGAATTCCTGTAAATTTAGTGTCGATGAATTTAAGTCCTCATATATTAATGTAATGAGTTGTCATGATCTGAAACAATGATTATGAAAAAAATAACTTCTAGAGAATCCATGTCACGACCCGGATTTCCCACCATCGGGAGTCGTGATGGCGCCTACTGTTGGAGCTAGGCAAGCCAAACATTTAAACATTTTCGGATAACAACATAACAATAATAAAATAACGAGTCTTTAAATAAATGCAGAAGTCTTTTAAAACATAAATAACTGAAAACCCAAAATGCGGAAGTCTAATATTTCACTACCCAAGACTGGAGTCGCTATCTCACGAACTACTAAAGAGTGCTACAAACAAGTCAGAATAGAAATACATAAATGTCTGTCTCGGTACAATGAAAACAAACTGAAACATAGAAAGGGACTCCGACCTGCGAACGCCAGCTAAGCTACCTCGTAAGTCCCTGGACTGAAGTCAGCTCCCGATCGATATCCTACTGCTGTGGTCCAAAATCTGCTCCGGTACCGTGATCTGTGCAAAAGACCACAGAAGTGTAGCATCAGCACAACCGACCCCGTGTGCTGGTAAGTGCCTGGCCTAACCCCGGCGAAGTAGTGACGAGGCTAGACAGGACTACCAAATCAACCTGTGCAGTTCAATATATATGTATGCAATAAAGGAAAGAATACCGAAATTAAACAGTTAACAAGGAAGGAAAGCATGCTATGGGAGAGTACAATCCGGATATAAAGTCATCACCTTATGTAAGAAACAGGGCAATAACAATAATTAACAAAAGAAAACAGGAGAATCAACAGTTGCACGGCATCAACCTTCGTGCTTTTACTCTCATTCTCACCAAAAACAATCAATTAGAATGCACGCATCGCCCTTCGTGCTTTCCTTCACATAACTCTCATTTCATGGCACGGAATGATCCTTCGTGCAATTATAGTCAAATCAGAGCACGGAATGTCCCCTCGTGCATAAATAATCAAAACATGGCACGGAATGACCCTTCGTGCAAATATAATCAAAACATGGCACGGAATGACCCTTCATGCAAATATAATCAAACATAGCACGGAATGACCCTTCGTGCAAATATAATCAAACATGGCACGGAATGACCCTTCGTGCATTATCACTCTTCCTCACCCAAACAACAATCACAACCAAACGGGCGATGGAATAAGCAAATAATAAGAAATGTCCCGGCAAGGAAAAACACAATTAAACAGCTAAATCCCGGCAAGGGAGTAACAACAACAACTTTCACATCCCGGCAAGGGAGATAATCAATATACAAAAACCATCCCAGCAAGGGATTAATCGTATCTCTTTCCATTTCTTTCATTTCTTACTCAATAGTATTTTTATTGTTCGACCCAACGCTCCAAAGAATTTACAATTCATAACCAATCCTCAAACTCTTCACATTATGTAGAATTCATCAATTAGCATAGAAGAGTCTCAAAAATATCAGAAATACGTGCAAACAAGGACCCACGGTCATGCTAGACACTGGTGTATAGATACTCGTCACCATGCCCATACACCATACTCGATCATTTAGCATTTAGCAATTAATAACACTCTAATCCTATTCCCTCAAGCCAAAGTTAGATCAAACACTTACCTCGGTCTAAAGAATAGCAATGAACTCTCCAATACCGCCTTTCCTCTAAAATCTGACTTCGAAACAATGGCATCTAGGCCTAATTAATTCAATAATATCAATTAAGGCTCAACAACATAATCCCATGGCCTAGAAATGAGTTTTCTAGCATTCTTCCAAAAATACCAAAATTCGACACCGGGCCCACATGGTCCAAACACGAGGCTCGGACCAAAACCTAGTCACCCATAACCCCACGAGTTCAAATATATAATTTGTTTTAAGATTCGACCCCAAATTGAGGTTGAATCACCCAAAATTCCCAAAACCCTAACTCTACCCAAAACCCTTAATTTCTACTTTGAATTCATAATTTAGGGCTAGGAAATTAGTGATTAGATGAAGAAATTAAGAGAGAATGAAGTTAAGAACACTTACCTAAGAAGCTATGGAGGAAAAGACTCTTCAAAATCGTCTATGGGGTGTTAGGGAGAAGAGTTCGTGTGGAAAAATGAGGAAAATCCCGTGCTGCTACTGTTTTGAACTTTAAAAAAAATCACTGAAGGGATTTACCCTTCGCGATCGCGACATCAAGGACGCGTTCGCGATGAAGAAGAACTGGGGGAATCGCGTTCGCGATTGAGAGCACGCGAACGCGAAGAAGGAAAGCTGGGGCCCTGGGCAAATGGCCTACGCGAACGCGAGTAGGCAGATGCGAACGCGTTGAAGGGTTTTGAAGGGGCTACGCGAACGCGGGAAAGAGGGCCGCGAACGCGGAAGAGGAAGTTGACAGGGCACTGCGAACGCGAGCCTGAGGCCGCGTTCGCGAAGAACAAATTATCTGGGCAAAAATTGCAGAAAAATCTGCTACCATTCCAAGTGTAAAAACACCCCGAACCACCTCCGATTCACTCCCGAGCCCTCGGGGCTCCTAACCGATCACACACACTAACTCAATAACATCCTACGAACTTACTCGAGCGATCAAATCGCCAAAACAACATCAAAATCAATGAATCAAGCCTCAAAATCATCATTTTCATTTCTAACTTCATAAATTTCCAACTTTAGATAATTAGGTCCGAAATACATCAAATGACGTCCGATTCCAACCAAACTTCACAGAAAGCGCATAACACATATTTAAGACCTGTACCGGGCGTAGGAACCAAAATACGAGCCCGATACCATAGTCTTTTAATCAATTTTCATTTTTATTTTCCTTAATAATTTAAGAAAAATAATTAAACAGAAAAATTCTTTTCCCGGGCTCTAGACCTCGGAATTCGATTTCGGGCATATGCCCAAGTCCCATATTTTTCTATGGACCCTCCGGGACCGTCAAATCACGGGTCCGGGTCCGTTTACCAAAAATGTTGACCGAAGTCAACTTTAATCATTTTAAAGCCACATTTTGAAAATTTTCACAGAATTTAACATATAATCTTTCCGGCTACGCGCCCGGACTGCGCACGCAAATCGAGACAACTAAAAGTGAGGTTTTCAAGGCCTCGGAAGCACGGAAAAAGAGAGAAATCCGGTGATGACCCTTTGGGTCGTCACAATCCAATCAGAAAAATACCATTTTTTTATTGGCCACACTTCACTTCATTCATTCTTATGATACTCAACTCAAGTAAAATTGAGTGACTTTTTTGTTAAAAAACAATTTAGTCATTTTATAATACTTTAATGAAATTGGCTAATTTTTCTTTATATAAAATAATTCAGTAAATTTGGTACAATAAAATACAAAATAATTAATCATTTATGAAATTAACTCATTTCACTTTGCATATTACTCCCTCTGTCCCAAATTAGTAGTCACTTTAGCTCAAGAAATTTTTTCCAAAATAATTATGGTTGTAAGAATTCAAGACAGAATTTGTTTATTGTTTCAAACTATCACTTAATACTAAAGAAGTAAATTTATCTTATACTTATTATTATTTTTAATGGGCATAAAAGAGCTAAAACGAAAGTTAAAATGTGAACTTTTTGGGTCGAAAAATAATTATAAGAACTTAGGTGGGTAATCTCAAAACTTCAGGAGAATTTTTACGAAACCAGAGGGAGCCAAGCTAGGCTTTGAACTAAAAGAGGATTGAAAGCAAGCAGAGCAGCGGCATCTATTGTCTCCCCGCTGGTCGGTCGGAGAATCACGTCGGCGCGTCGCTCATTGTCTGGTATTTATCTGTATTTTGTGTTGCTACTATTTTGCTCTTTTCCTATTTTTCACTACTTTCTAATTCTTTATATTTGCTTTCTGATTTTAATTATTCTTCTTTTTAATGCATTTGGTCTCTAAATTTCTTTCCTTTGAAAACCCTTTATGGTGATATGTGAAAAAAATAAAACAAAACGGGGTGGGGGTGGGTGGTGGGTGGTGGGTGGTGGGTGGGGTGGGGTGGGGGGTTCTAACTTCTAAGTGGAAGTGAAAATTGTCTATAAGAGTAAAAGATGAACCTCTGCATGATATGAAGTATTGGTATAGCTAAATGCAAATTAGTTTGGTAAAATGTGTTCCATATTACTTGTCTTTTTATAGTTCATATGTGTTTTAATGGTGTAGTTAGCCTAGGCACATATATGTATGCATTATCGTTGATAATGTAATGTAAGGGTGTGGCCTAATGGTCAATAAAGTGAGTAGAGAATCATGAGCTCTCAAGTCCCAGCAGAGGAAAAATACTAGGTCATTTACCTTGTCCAAACAAAAAAGAAAAATGAAATACGAGGCAATTTTTTCTTATCTGGCTCAGTCTTGGTGGACAGAGTTATTCGGTACCTATGTTGATGGAGATAGTAGGTACCCAATGGAATAGTCAAAGTGCATGTAAGTTAACCCGGACAACACCGTTATTAAACGAAAATGCACTGTATCCTCCTCCTACTCATGTCTCTGACTAGGTATTGTATAGATATTGATGTTCACACTACACCATTTTAAGCCTTTTGCCACTTTCAAAAAGTGTGGCCTGAACTATCAAAAGTGTGGCATTTGATCAAAGGCCACACTTTTCAACATTAGGCAACGCTTTTCTAGGGGTGGCCTAAATGAGCGTAACCTTTTCCCTAAGGCCACACTTTTCAAGTGTTGTTTTAGATGCTACGCTTCAAAAGTGTGGCCTATCAAGTACAAAGGCCACGTTTTGTATTACCTCATATGGCAACGTTTTTCAAGCCTAAAACTACACTTTTAAAGTGTGGCCTCTGTTACCTTATAAGCCACACTTTTGAAGCGTGGCTGTTAGAGCAACACTTGTGAAGCGTAGCTTATCTGCCATTTTACAATCAATAGGCCACAGACTCGACAGTCCATATGGCACACTTTTGAAGCGTGCTCTAAGTTATAAACATTTTTTAAAATAATTTGTACAAGCCATTATTTTGTGGTTGATGCTATAATCAAATTTATTTCAAGAATATACATTATTATCCTATGTTAATGATCTAAAGCATTACAGTAGCTCATAAATAACATATTAGCTAAACTTACAACAGACTTCGAAAAAGACATATCATATATAGTATGCGTTCTAATAACACAATGCTTCAAGATGTGCATTAGTAATGAACTCTACAAAAAAAGAATGTGTTCATATAGTATCATGAAGGCATGAATAATAAACATCACAATTGTTCAAAAAGCCTTGATAATTCACTTCATAATTGTGGTCACCATTTCAGTTTGCATCACCCGCATTTTCCTACACAATCAAAATAAAATTAACAATTAAAGAGAATATAAGTATGTAATATCATATTGCAATCTGTAATATGGTTAATATTTAGTATACTACGCTGAATCAACAATATGGCTCCCATCTGGAAATTCAGATGATTAATCCTGTTAGAAAAGAGCTTTAATGCAATATGGTATAAAGTTGCTTGTTAACACCTTGGGTGCTTGAAACACTAACCTATCTTCCTTGTTCAGATAGTGTTAAAATTCTTTGGCGCCTAATCACAAGAAAAAGACTTCTTCAAGAAAAGAAAAAAGTTAAAACAAAAACGAAAGGTAGCACATTGGATGATCAAGCATCCGATCAAATGAAATGAGGGTTGGAAAGAAAAGATAGGAACGATTATATTCCCAAATGTTCTATTAGTCACATTCCCTTGAGATCTTACTGCGGATTTTGCTTGTGTTTAATCTTTTCCACTTAAAAATCATATAGGAGTTTCTGAAAATTTTGCATACTAAGCTTTTTGTATAGGTGCCCCCTGGATAATAATGTATGAACAAGGGAGGGGAAAAGGCAAAACAACTTAAGATCCTAGTCCTCTTAGAAAGGGGAATGGATCGTTTTCCCGATTATTCAGATTTTCACGGAGTTGATACAACCCTTTATTCAAGTACTCTTTCTGCTACTCGAGCCTCGCTAAAGCCTAAACATACCGGTCAAATGAAGAATATATGCTTGTAAAGTTAACACTAATCCACCATTGTGCAAATATTCATAGTTTCAAACCCAAATATATAGTAATACAACTATATGCTACCTTAACATGTTTGCTCCCTAGATACTCAGAGAATAACTTCAAAACAATCAAAATTTACCTTTTCACAAATCAGAACAGAAGTTGACCAGAGAAATGTTGAAGATTGTGGCTTCTCATAGCACGTGCACTACTTGAATCAACCGGAGAAGGTAGGATAGATTCGACACACCTTGCTATATCCTAAATGTTCAGTCCAAGGTTGGTTGCACTAATACATTAACAAGATGCCACAATTGTTCCAGTTCCTGCACTTCTTCCTTCATGTCTTGCATTTCTTCCTTCACAGAAAATAACTGAATCTAAGCAAGAGTTCGTTTCATAACAACAAGTGTAGCAAATATGAATTTTCAGAAAAAAAATTATGATCATTTGGGCAATAATAACATTAATTAAGCAAAGAGTTAATGAAAAACAAAGTTTATGATCATTTGGGCAGTAATAACATTAATTAAGCAATTAAGAGATAATGAATGAAAATAATACTAACGAAGAAATCAAATAATAAACTGAACAAGACTAAAGAAAGGAAAAACATTAGCTTCTAGAAACTTAAAACGGCAGATATATCGTATTCATATGCAATCTCAAGATATAACAGGTACAAGGTAATTTAAGAAGCAACACTTAGAGAACAATCAGTACCTATATGTTTGTGGAAAGAGGCGCCTCCACATATGTGAATAATAAGAACAATCAATATATATATATATATATATATGCCTGGTGAAAAAAGGGGCATCCACATATATGAATAATAAGAACAATCAACATTCATGATATCTATCATCACTCACTACAGTTGATAGTATATTCATATAAGAACAAAAAAGACAATCCTTAACTAATATATATAGTTTATACATTGGAAGGGAACACGAAAAGTATATTCGTAAATGTTGTCAATTATATTTTCACTAAATGAATAATATTTCACTTGAATGAAAGATAATCCTTCAGCAATAATCCTTTTGTTCATCTATTCACCATTCAGAGAAAATCTTATTTAGCAACAACATCGCAAAACTCTACTGAAAAAGAGACTAAATTAAACTTCTAACTGTTTTGACTACACTAATATTAAAGGTGCAAGAGTTATATTTGGATTCAGCCTTAGGCTATAAAAGGATATTCTAATAACATAATTGTAAAAAGGAGATATTTCAACTAAAATAATTAACTTAAAGAATATTGAAATTAGTCAAATCCACGGCTAGCAAGAATTGGATTCACTTATTGTGCAACTGAGCTTCATATTAATTTCTCTAAATAGTTAGAGTAATGTTATAGCTTTGGAAATATACTTAAAAACATTTTTTGGCTAAATATTAAATTAAAATGTATGCGAGAATCGATATCAAAAGAACAAAACATGAATAAGGTCTAAACTTGGTGAATTTAAAAACCACGTTATGTAGCATACCAGATGATGGCCTAGCAAGAGCTCATTGTGACAAGAAAAGGAAAACTACCAAGAACTAAGCTAATAGACCTTTATACAAATCACTTAGTTTAATCACGAAGGTTGTGAAAGTAGCTAGCCGGGTCACGCTCAAGTCATCCCTGTAAATGTAATCACCTGTTGGAGCTTTCATCATTTTGACTTTCTCCTTTCATTTTTGCCACAATAAATGAAGTAAAAATTATTTAAGCAGAATAATTGTCAGAGTTAGGGTTATTCGACAGTGATGGTTATCAATTGTGCCCTTGGAGATATGATAATCTGATGTACTACCCAAATGCTTATTAACTACTGAAAGGAAAACACCAAAAAGGGATGAAATTTAGTATAGTGGTAAAGAGATACAAGCACATACAAAGATCTATTTCAGTATAGTAGAGGGACTTGCTTTGACATATTTCTCCGCGATACCCATTCTTTCCATCAGCTCCTTCGGCGGCTCAATCTTTCCATACCGTAGAAGTCTGCTGCTGTGTGTACGAGTTTTGGGATCTATAAATTACCAAAGGTTTCCACGAAACTAAAACAAGGAATTGAAGAAATTAGAAACACTAATGAAAAATGAAAGGAGATGAAATATGAAAAACTTTTCATAGGCTAGCCTATTGCCTAATTGATGGAGTATTCTTTTTCTTTTGTAACCTAATTGATGGACATTTAGCGGAGGATGAATGGAGAAAGGCAATTTGAAATTGATTTCCCCGGGTACACTTTTCATAATAGGGGGAAAGTTTTGGTGAAAATTTTAAAATTTTATTGAAAAATTTAAGAGCACACTTGCAAAGTATAGTCTCAGCATTAAAAAAATAGAAACGCTTCAAAAGCGTTGTAGTATGAGTGAATAAGTGTTGCCAAAAGTTTTATGATTTGACAACGCTTAAATTGTGTAGTCTTTAAATATAAGAGGCACACTTTTTAAGTGTTTCCTAAATTCCGTGGCCAAAAGCTTTCCACAAAGACCACCCCATGAAAAACGTGCCCATACATGGCTTTGGCAACACTCTTTAAGCGTTGTCTATATTAGTGTGGCCTTAGGCCTAAAATGTTGTAGTGTCAGTGCTATATAGCTTATGGAAAGGGTCATTATGAGGGTCAGAGAACAGGAAATTTCAGCAAACAGATTACAGTTTCGCTCGACTAATGTGCAGTTTGTGTCAGCAAGTGAAACATGAAGTGTTAGTATGGATGAAAATTTTATAAATCTGAATTCGGAGAAGTTTGAGTAGATTATGTGACAAATTGATAGCTGTAGTAGTGTTAACTCGTAAGTTTGGGATCTCTGTCCTGTCTGCCCTGAAAAGAGGAGCCTCGACTCTCCCCTCCTCCCCATCTTTGGCCAAAGCAGCCATTGGACTCACTCTTTGCTGCTAGCTGAAGTCTGTTTGATGTTTGTTTCTTGGTTTATTTTCTACCTAATTTACATTCATAAGATCAATAAGTCGGTTAAATTCTAAATCTTCGCTAAAATTCTTTTTTCCATAGTTGCTTGGTGCGTAAAAGAGAAATAAAAGACACAACACCATTCTTGTCCAACCTTCCACTCTTTTTCTTTTTGGGTATGGTTTTGTTAGATTGTGAAACTTAATTTTTTGTGACATATGGTCCAACTCCTAAAAATCCAAATGTACACCTTCAGGCTAAATCCAGCCTAAATAATATGAATTTGTCAAGAGAGCTTATGAAAGTGCTGTTAACAAGAACCTTAATGGGGCGGGTACCTATATTTTATGATTTCAGGAGATAAGAGAGCCTATGAAAGTGCTGTTAACAAGAACTACACGGGGCGGGTACCTATGTTTTATGATTGAAAGGTTGCCTTTTTTTTTGAGCAAAAGGTAATTGTACATTCATAAAACTCTAGCACGAAGAGAGTGCTAGGACAAACATACTTACAAGATGAATTAATTTTCCTTACATTTTCTATGACATATCTATTTACACCAAATAGATAAAAGATATATACAAGTAAACTTTAGTGAAGATATTGCAGCTCCGATTTAAAGGGTTAGTTTTCGACACCTCTTAGGTTCCGAAGTTGTGGAAGTTTGAGGGCTTTGCCGCACTATACTTTGTTTTCCAGTACTTTAGTCATCTCCATATACACGTGTGTGTCTCACCTTTTATTCTCAGTCACACAGCTGTGATATGCTTTCTGTTTTTTGAACAGGTGAAATTTCATCTATTTACTGGCAACAAAGGATTCCTTCTTTTGTTTTATGAGAATGCATCAAGAATATTATATCGTGGGACACATAACAGACTACTCAGTCCATGCCGTAGAATAATTGGAGTGGAAACAAAAACCAAGTAAGCTCTGCACTCTTAGAGGAGTCTGCCCTCATCTCCAACGAAAAAGAAGCAATGTGGAGGCACTATCACCTGCTAGTTCTGAGGCTATGTCTTTGATTAGCAAATGCTTAACAACTTCTGCTGAACCATCATTTTCACTGTCCATACCGCTTCTGAATCTGTTGAGAGCGTGCAGAACCGTCAAAAACCTTCAGCAAGTCCACACCCACATAATCCAAAAAGGCTACGAGCAAGACCATTTTATCATCAACCAGTTTATATCGCTCTGTAACACTTTTTCCTCCGATATCTCTTATGCGACAAGTGTATTTGAGAGTGTCATTCAGCCCAACGTTTATGTCTGGAATACATTGATTAAAGGGTATAGCAAACATTCGTCCTTTGCTGATTGCTTCCTTATCTTGAAACAAATGAAAAGAAGTATGAATGTGATACCTGATAAGTATACTTTTCCATCGCTGGTCAAATCTTGTTCTAGTGCCTTGGCTTTGAGGGAAGGTCAGGCCGTTCATGGGTTGATAGTTAGATATGGAACTGATGGTGACGTGTTTGTAGGGTCCAGCTTGATTGATCTTTATGGGAAGTGCAATCAGATTGAGTATGCACGTAGAATCTTTGATGAAATGCCTCTAAGGAATGAGGTTACATGGACTGCTATGGTCGTTGGCTATATATATTTTGGTGATTTATCGCAAGCGAAGAAATTATTTGATGAAATGCCCCATAAAAATATAGCCTCGTGGAATGCAATGATTAGTGCATTCGTGAAGTTTGGTGATTTGCTTAGTGCCAGGAAATTGTTTGATAGTATGCCTGGCAAAGATGTGGTATCTTTTACTACTATGATTGATGGTTATGCTAAGGCTGGTGACATGGCATCAGCGAGGTTCCTGTTCGATCAGTCTTTTGACAGAGATATAATATCCTGGTCTGCTTTGATATCTGGGTACGCTCAGAACGGGCAGCCCAATGAAGCTCTCAAAATTTTCCATGAAATGTTGTCAATGAATGTTAGGCCAGATGAGTTTATAATGGTAAGTTTGATGTGTGCGTGTTCCCAGTTAGGTCGCCTGGACCTGGCAAATTGGGTAGAACATTATATGAGCCAGAATTCATTTGATCTTAATCAAGTGCATATAGCTGCAACCCTTGTGGATATGAATGCTAAATGTGGGAATATGGAAAGGGCGACAATGCTGTTTGAGGGGATGCCTAAGCGTGATCTAGTATCATACTGTTCAATGATACAAGGCCTGTCTATTCATGGTTGCGGTTCCCAGGCTGTGGTTTTCTTTGATAGGATGTTGAACGAGGGGCTCGTGCCTGATGATGTTTCCCTTAAGGTAATTCTGACTGCTTGTAGTCGTGCAGAACTTGTTAAGGAGGGTTGCCGCATATTTAATCTAATGATAAACAAATATCCTGTTAAGCCTTCTCCGGATCATTATGCATGCGTAGTAGACCTTCTTGGAAGATCAGGAAAACTTAAAGATGCGTATGAACTTATAAGGTCAATGCCCATTGAACCTCATGCTGGTGCCTGGGGTGCACTTCTTGGGGCTTGTAAGCTACACTGTGACATTGAGGTAGGGAAGAAGGTATCCCATAGACTTTTTGAACTTGAGCCTCAAAATACTGGTAATTACGTACTTTTGTCAGACATCTATGCTGCGGCAAATCGGTGGTTAGATGTTGCGTTGTTGCGTCAGAAAATGAGTGAGAAGGGTCTTAAGAAGATACCTGGTTGCAGTTGGGTATGAAACAATCCTTAACACTTTTTCCTATTATTGTTCATGTCTTCATGTCCTGTTTTACGTGTTTTCCCTTCATTAGAAAATTAGTCTATCTCCTTTTATCTCTTATTGCACATTTTGAGTCATTTAACTATTACATTAGCTGACTTCTTCAAGAGCACTAAAATTTGGAACTGTTTTACTTGTTGCTGATATGAATATAGTTTGAACTAGGAGTGGAGAGATGCTTTTTTTTTACTTATTGAATTACTTTCTTTGATCAGCCTGACATTTTTTCTACTGTGGTTCTCTTTTAACCAGTGCCTTTTATAATAGCATTTCAGCCTTCTTTATCAACTAATAATAACGAGAAAAACTATTCCAGTTCAGGATAGTCACCTTTATTTTTCAGTTGGAATAGTCTATGCATCTCCCAAATACTTTTCTTCTCAGCTTTTACCTATTAAGCGCGAAATTCTTTAATGTTATTTGTTTTGTAATTTGATAGGGAAAGTTTCCCACTTGTGGTATTATAGTGGGTTGTTGTTGTTGTTGTTGTTGTTATTTTGTAATTTGATAGCCAAGTTGAACCTCTTTCTGATTTTTTCTTATTTTACTTTGAGGGAATTAGGTATAATGTGATGGCAATTTGTGGACACTCGTTGAACAAAGAACTACATAAGGAAATCAAAGTGGAAAATCCCTTGTTGCATAAGTGGTGAGTTGAACTAAACCAGTTTCCCATGAGTCAGGCTGCTTACATGACTGAAAATTCAAATTTTTCGCACATGGAATTGGATAGTTTACTATTACAGAGAGGCTTGATCACTTTTATTAGTGGGACAGATAAGCATGTATATGCAGATTGATTTTAATCCAGTATATTGAGAAGAAAATTTTCGTGATACTTGAATTTTGTCTATTGTGCTGAGCATCAGACCATCCACTTCACTATTGGTTTCAGACAGGGTTTAAAGAGGGATATTCCCATTGAAAGCCAACATGCTGAGGAATTGTTGGTCCAGTTAATCAATTTTGTGCAATCAATGTCCAGTTACCGAAGCACTAGTGGAACAGTTTTTGATTTGGCTTATATCAGGTATTAAATGTTTCGTCCTTATCTAAAACGTGGTTAATATCTTTTTTCTCTTTATGACTTCTTTTTTCCATATTTTTTGAGTGGTTATATGTATATCAATATTCGAGTAACTTGTTCATATTTTTTTTTGCTTGTTGTGCAGCTATTTAGAAATTAGAGGATGAAGCTTTACAGTGCAAGAAGCAGAAAAGAAAGGCCTTTAGTTCAAGAATGGATCAACTCATAAACAGCTCCACTGAAAAATCGTGGTTTCTAGATTGACAATTACAATTTGATTGGATTTGAATTTCACTTCTGTCCCGTATAGCAGAAAAGCTAATTACGAGAGTTCAGAGGCAATTTTTATGATTTTCTGGCTTAATATCTGAAGGGGCTATTTTTCACTTGATTGTGCACAGCTGGGATCGGTAGGTCCTTGACGACAAGCTAATCTACATCATTGCTATCTATTGCTCTTTCTTCAGTTCCTAACTGTAAGTTATCTGTGGCTATGCTGTGTATTCTGCAAGAAAATGTTGTATTGTTTTGAATGATTCTATTCTCAGTGGAGATGAAGGAGGATGAATATGATTAGATTGAACTACCATATTAAAAAGAATCCTTTAAATTGTATAAGTATATACTTGGGTTTCATGTGTTGCGAAAAATGGAGAAAAGGTGTTGACAAGTTTATTACTTCTAAATCAAAAAGTGCTGCTGAACCTATAATTACAAAACTGTGTCGAATTTCTTCAAAATTTTACTCCTTTTTGAACTTGAAAAAATTTTGCCGAACTTTTTGGTCTCCCAATTATCCCGTAGCTTCTAAATTTCTCGACATTTATTAATATGCAATAAATATTCCGTACTGTCATTAATGGAGGGTGATCCTAACAATTAACACCCGAGGGATAGGTAGAAGGCCATTTAGAAAATATGATCTGTTATGTTCTTTATATTGTTGTACGAACTGCAAAATGTGATTACGACTTCTGTAAATGCAGTTAAATTAATGAGTTAGATCCCATGGAGAATAGAGAGTCCAACTTTCTCAATTTTTAGAGGTTTAAACTGCATGTATTTATTATCTTGTCCAATTTAAGCCAGCTGACATATTAGATGATCGAAGACGTATCTGTGTCCTGAGATGAAAATCATGATAGCTTTTTAGCACTGGTTGGTGACTGTAAATTTGCCTTCGGGCTGTTAAGACTTGCTTCTAAAGCAATTTGCATCTTCTAAGCCACTTCTCAAGATTTCACTCCTTTCCTCAATACTTTGCTGATATTTCTTTTCTTCAAGCTCAATCATGCCGATGTCGTGCAGTCCTTCCACCCCTAATAATTAGAAAAAAAATACAACATGCATAGTCAAAATGGCGAAATTCTGTAAAAGAGTGCATTAAGAAATTAAGATAGCGCCATTTGTCTTTAAACTTGCGTTATGGGATCAGCTCTTCATTATACATGTCTTTATTTTTCAACAATTCCCTCAACATAAAGAGAACACTAGTCATTTGTGATATCAAGTAATTCAAAATTGGAGTGGAGCTACTAGGATCATCTATAATTGATACATGAAGTTAATGTGCTTTCTTTCTAATATTTGTTCAGTTGGGAGCTCCACATTGTGTTCCTATTGAGTCTTAATTTTATCTATTTAGTTATATTTCAATATTATTTTTCAGCCCACCTATTTATTCTGCATATGATGACAAGCTTAACTATATTGCTTTTCTTGCAATTTGTTATCAATTTTAATTGTGTCCTTTTCTTGCGAGAAACTATGTTAGATAGAGATTTTTCATTAAGATCATGTATTTTTGTTCTCAAGTATAATTTCTTACTCTTTTGTTTCTGATTCCATCTCAAAAAAGTATTTCTCACTTTTCATGAGTGATCAGCAATCCACATCCAACACACTGAAAGTACAGATTTTCTCCACTTCTTTCTCACATCAAGCTTCAAGAAACTTAATGTAGACCTACTCTGGCTGCTGTGTTACTATACAATTTAACATGCCATTCAATCATTCAGCTCTTAAAGTCTTCATAGTATGCAAACTCTTCGAATGAACCAACCACCTGTTTCCAATATAACCTAAGGGAACCAATAACTGTAGAAAATTTCAGTGGTAAAGAACCACACAACTTGATGTGTGAGCACCTATTCTTCATTTTGGTCCATTGCACAAAAGGTCATTCAGATGCTATAGTGAGGTAGGGAAAGATAAATTCTCAATTAATGTTGTCATTTGTTTCTAGTGACTTTGCCATCTTATGTGTACTTATTGCAATCTTGAGTTGATAGTATTTGTGATAACTTCCCTCTTCTCCAACTTTGACTTTGAGTTTGAAGAGTAAATTTTCGCCTTTGTTGTTGAAAAGTCAGGACCTATTGAGAATCTATTTTGGTCCTGCATCTACCTATCTTACGCTTTCTTGGTCTTTTCTACAGATTTTTGGTTGTGAAATAGGATTAATCCAAGAACATTGATATACTGTTATCTCTTCGATGTTCTCATTTTGATGATCTCAATGTACTTCAGATTTTGCTTTCAGCTGAAGATAAAGGAGACATCAATGGTACACTTGTCTTGGTTAATCAGTTCCTCAAATTTTTCAGTTGAGAATTCCTATTTTTTGACGTTTTTAAAATGCCAAAAAATGAGAAATGGTCATGCCAAAGCGATGATTATTGTTCATTAGGTCGTTTTTTATGGCCCTATGAAATTAGGCGATTTGGAGCCGGTCATACGAATTCATATAGATAGCGTGGACTATAGCACATGAAAATTTAGTAATCGTCTTGGATTTCTGGTTTTAGCCCTAAAATGCCACAAAGGAGGAATGATCATGCCGAAGCGATGATTATCGTTCATTAGGTTATTTTAGATGGGCCCGCAAAATTTCAAGCGGTTCGGAACCGGTTGTCCGAATTCATGCAGATAGCATGGATTATAACATACAAATATATGGAATTCGCTTTGAATTCCTGTTTTTGGCCATAAAATGCCAAAAAATAAAAACGACCATGCTGAAGTGATGACCATTGTTATTAGGTCATTTTTTATGAACCCGCAAAATTTTAGGCAATTCGGATTCGGTCGCCCGAAATCATGCAGATAGCGTGGACTGTAGCACACGAAAATATGGAAATCTTCATGAATTTCGTTTTTTTGGTCCTAAAATGCCCATAAACAAGGAATGGTCATGCCAAAGAGATGACAATTGTTCATCAAGGCATTTTTGAAGGGCCCGCTAAATCTTTGGCGATTCGGAGCAAGTCGCCCAAATTGATGGAGATGGCGTGGACTACACGAAAATATGAAAATCATTTCGAATTTTTGTTTTTTGGCCCTAAAATGCCAAAAAGAGGAACGTTCAATTATCTCTAAAGATAGGGTGTCCTAACGCTCAAAAGATATGAAAGATCTCCCTCCAAGCTTGCACGTTTGGATTCAGCACGCTCTTAGAATAGCTGTGGAAATCCGAACGCCTATCCCAACACGGAGAGCGCGCTTGGAAGAAGCGATCTGTTACCGAGTCGTCTTATTGGGAATAACAAGAGCATCTGATAAATTCCACTCTCACCTTACAGAGAAAGAAAAGAAGGGGGTGTCCTAGTCTTTTTGATTTTTACGAATTTCAAAATGGGATAACATGCTCGATAGGGCATGCGTGGATGATTATCATAAGAGATTCCCAACATATCATATGATTCTCGGCCGAAGCGATGACTATTGTTTATTATGTCATTTTTATGCGCCCGCAAAATTTAAGGCGGTTCGGAGCTGGTCGCTCGAATTTATGAAGATGACGTGGATTATAGTGCACGAAAATATGGTAATCGTTGTGGAATCCTGTTAATTGGCGCCAAAACGTCAACAAATTAAGAACGATCATGCCGAAGCGATGACTATTTTTTATTAAGTCATTTTTTATGGGCCCGCAAAATTTTAGGCGATTCAGATTTGGTCACTCAAATTCATTCAGATAGCGTGGACTACAACACACGAAAATTTAAAAATCATCCTAAGTTCCTGTTTTTTGCCCTAAAATGCCAAAAAAGAGGAACGGTCATGCCTAAGCGATGACTATTGTTCATTAGGTTGTTTTTGATGAGCCCGCAAAATATTAGGCGATTCAGAGCCGGTTGCCCGAATTCGTATAGATTGGCATGGACTATAAAACACGAAAATATGGAAATCATCCCGAATTCCTATTTTTTGCCATAAAATGAAAAAAAACAAGTAACGGTCATGCCAAAGCGACGAGCACTGTTCATTAGGTCGTTTTTATGGGCCCGTAAAATTTTAGGCGATTCAGAGCCGGTCGCTGTAACGACCCGACCGGTCGTTTTGAGCTTTTGCACTTTGATCGCCAGTTCTCGGGCATGACTTGCCCCGTGTAATGCACTATGACTGATGTAGATCGTTGGTTTTTGTTTTCAGGAAAAATCGGAATGAATTTGGAAGAACAGTCTCAGTTGAAAGCTTTGAATTTGAAAGGTTTGACCAAGAGTTGACTTAATTGTATAAGAGTTCGGATTGGAATTTTTTATGATTTGGCTAGATCCGTTAGGTGATTTATGACTTAGGAGCGCGATCGGAATGCATTTTGGAAGTTCGTGGAAGGATTTGGCTTGAATTGGCAAGGTTAGTATTTTGGCGAATTCCGGTTGATAGGTGAGATTTTGATCCGAGGGTCGGAATGGAATTTCGAGAGTTGTCGTAGCTTCGTTATGTCATTTGTGATATGTGTGCAAAATTTCAGGTCATTCGGATGTTGTTTGGTCGGGTTTTTGATCAAAAGTGTATTTCGGAAGTTTTTGGAAACTTAGGCTCGAATTCGATGAATTTCGAGTAATTTGATGTTGTTTGAGGTGTTTTAATGATTGGAACAAGTTTGAATGAGGTTTTAGGGCGTTTTGGTGTCTTTGGTTGAGGTCCCGGGGGCCTCGGGTGAGTTTCGGATGGTCAATCAGACCATTTTTGGCATTTTGGAGTTGCAGATTTTCATCTCAACTATTGCAGAAGAAATGGCCTTCGCGATCGCGTGAAGTCCCTCGCAATCGCGTAGAGGGATTTTTCGTTGGCTCAGGTTTGCTCTTCGTGTTCGCAGTGATGGGTTCGCGTTCGCGTAGTTTTGGAGGTGGAAGCTTCGCGATCGCGGTTGTGTGTACGCGTTCGCGTATAAGGATTTGGGGACCCAGTGGATTTGTTCTCCGCGTTCGCATAAGCTGGTCCGCATTCGCGTAAGTTTGGGAAAAAGAGCATCGCGTTCGCGGAGTGAGCATCGCGTTCGCATTGAGTATTTTTTGAAGCCTTGAATTTTTGTGCTTCGCGATCGCGTGGCCTTGGTCGCGATTGCGAAGAAGGATTTGGAGTTGCTAGGCAGAATATTTTTAAGTCACCTTGTCCGCGATTTTGGGACTATTTTCACCCATGGCTGCTCATTTTTGGAGATTTTTGGAGGAGATGAAAGAGGGATTCAAGAGGAATCGACTTGAGGTAAGAATCTTGGTCTTAAAACTTGATTATATTGTGAAATCCACCTAGAAATTCATGGAAACTAAGCCTAAAATTGAAGAACTAGGGCTTGAGAAATTGGACTTTGAAATTGGGATTTGAAGGACCATTTGAGGTCGGAATTG